ATTTTCTAATATGGCGGATTGGGTCGACATGCAGTGAGGAGCTCCGTCACCAACATCACAGAATACCGGACCAAACAGCCACAGGGGATAGTGCTAGAACTCTGAACCACATATAAAGGAATATTTAGAAGATTGGAAGGCTTACAGCTAGAAGAATTTGTAGCAGCATCAAGAAATTCATTGTTTTCTAATTCAAAATGCTGAGTTACTCCCAGAGCCACCATCTTGGGAGACACCAAGTGGGGGAAGGATCAAAACAGCCACAAACACCTGACAGAACCACAGAGATATAGGTGTAGACATTCTTTTTATTTTGGTATCTGTTCATTGGTCTCTCACTGTCTGCGCACCTCCATTCTGGTCACTGGAGGGGATGCCTAAAAGAATGGAAACTCCACCCCCACCCCTGGGGTGTTTTACTATGCATGCACAGATTGCTTCAAAATTTAAAGTGACGGTCTCCACTTAAAACCAAATGGCCACAATTTGTCTGTCAATTTGTCTTAATGTGGTGGCTTGTGAGTTGCTGTGATTCTGGAAGCTATGTCACTGGTATTTTAAATGCCAGCAGGGTCACCCATGGTGGACAGGTTTCAGATGACCTTCCAGACAAAGATGGACTAGGAAGAAAGAGAGATGAACTAATTCAAATATTTAGTCACTGAAAACATTATGAATAGTAGAGAAACACTGTCAGATATAGTAATGGAAAACAGGCCCCTCAAGTTGGAAGGCGCTCAAAATGTGACTGGGGAAGAGCTGCCTCTTTAAACTAGGGTTGACTGTGATAATGTGAATGGAGTAAAAATCATGGGAGAAAAGCCTGTGGGACCTTCAATTACTGATGGGGTACAACTCAAAATGAAAAGAAACAGCTATAAACATCCATTGAAAATCGGAACATAGAATATACGAAGTATGAATCTGGGAAAATAGGAAGTGGTCAAAAATGAAATGGAATGCATAAAAATCGATATCTTAGGCATTAATGAGCTGAAATGGACTGGTATTGGTCATTTTGAATCTGACAACTACATGGTTTACTATGCCGGGAATGACAAATTGAAGAGGAATTGTGTTGCATTCATCATCAAAAAGAACATATCCAGATCAGTCATGAGGTACAATGCTATCTGTGATAGGATAATATCCATGTGCCTACAGGGAAGCCCAGTTAATACCCCTGTTATGCAAATTTACGCACCAACCACTAAAGCCAGTGAAGATCAGATAGAAGAATTCTACCAAATTCTTCAATCTGAATTCAATCAAACATGCAATCAAGATGTATTGATTATTACTGGTGATTGGAATGCAAAGGTTGGGAGCAAAGAGGAAGGATCAGTAGTTGGAAAATATGGCCTTGGTGATAGAAATGATGCTGGAGAACACACGATAGAATTATCCAAAACAATGATTTGTTCATTTCAAATAACTTCTTTAGACAGCATAAGAGATGACTATACACATGGACCTTGCCAGATGGACTACATAGAAATCAAATTGACTACATCTGTGGAAAGAGATGATGGAAAAGCTCCATATCATTAGTCAAAACAAAGCCAGGGGCAGACTGTGGAACAGACCATCAATTACTCATATGCAAAATCAAACTGAAGCTTAAGAAAATGAAAACAAGTCCATGAGAGCCAAAATATGACCTCGAATATATCCCACCTGAATTTAGAGATCATCTGAAGAACAGATTTGATACATTAAACACTAAAGACCAAAGACCAAAAGAGTTGTGGGATGACATCAAGAACATCTTACATGAAGAAAGCAAAAAGTCTTTGAGAAGACAAGAAAGAAGGAAAAGGTCAAAATGGATGTCAGAAGAAACTCTGAAACTTGCTGTCCAGCATAGAGATGCTAAAGCAAATGGAAGAGCTGAGGAGGTCCAAGAGCTGAACAGAAAATTTCAAAAAATCAGCTCGAGAAGATAAAGCCAACTATTACAACAAAATGTTGTGTGTTAGGTAGGAGTGAAATTGCTCTAAAGATGAAGGTGTTTGGAGTTGACAGGAAAATGGTGCTATAAAGTCTCTCTTGCTTTCTTCCTTGTATGTATACTAGGGGTGCAGTGGGGCATGGTGGAATCTCTGCAAAAATATCAGAGAATGATCCAGCAAGTATGCTTGGGCAGCACATGCTCATTGCTGGGACCAGAAGCTGATGAAGATGGATGAAAATGACCTGCTGCTTTAATGCATTAATTTATCCAGTAGCTCCTTCACACTTCACAGTAACTTTGGGAAAAGCTTCTTCTCAGTAATGATCATGAAACCTAGCATATAGCCATGAACAAAAAATTTGTCTTATAAATGGCTGCATTGTGAGCGATTAGTCATTTTCTGAGGGGTCTGCATTTTTCTGTGCTTGGACCTTTTTTAAATTTATAATTATTCTACTGTAGGACCAAAGAACACTGGGTCATGACCAGAACCTTTCCTCTTTCATTTAACAATATGTATGAGTTAATAAATCCAGGGAAATATGACCTCACATGCCAAAATATCTAAACACCTGGGGAATTCATCACCTATAGAAGATGACAAACTGGATAATTTATGCTATCTAAAGCAGAACTATTAGAAAAGACAAAATAAGAATTTAAAGCAAGCAGGGCAAATGTAATTTAAGAAACAAGGGCCACATGGATAAGGACATAGCCATGGAGGGCTGGAGCTGAGAGTGAAGCATCCAGCTGATATGCAGTGAGGGCAGATGCACAAGAACACTCAAACTTGCAAATAGTACCCATTTGACCTAGCCTCAATGGTTTGATAACCAGAACTCGATTAGAGGAAGGTAAAAAAAAATTTTTTTATAAAGGAAATGCGTGTAAATTGCTACAATTGGATGAACTTGACCTATACTGATGGATGTAGTAGCTCAAAATACCAACTGAAAGGGAGGAATCTTCACATAAAGTATCAATTCTATCCCCTCTGTAGACAGGATAGGAACGGGCAATTTAGACATTGGCTACCTAAAATGAGGGGTTGATTAAGGCACGGATTGTCTGGCTTACAAGTTTCCAAGAAGGAGTTTAGTTTTAGAGTATGTGGAGGAAGGTAGAGTCCCCACTGAATAGTTTTCATTTTGTCTAGACTGGTCCAGTGAAAAGAGATGGAGTAAGATTATTATAATTCAATAGTGAGTTAATGTTATCAGGACTAATTGTGACTGTCACAACTGTAAAGGTAGAAGTTTTGTAACAAAAACAGGGGTGTAGTTAATCTTACAGTCCAGAAACAGAGGACCCTAGGACCATCAAGGATGCACAAGTGGAATGGGGGACCCTATCCAGAGAAGCAGTAACACCAGAGACAGAGGCATGGAGAGAGGGAGCCACTGAGGACTCTGGACTCATGAAAAAGAGAGGAACTGGGTACTGGCAGCCAAGAGGCAAGCTTGCAGAATGTGCCCTTTGGTTGTTTAAATGATTATATGTTCCTGAGTGTTTTTGTGTACATCCATCCCCCCTCCAAAACAAAACAAAAAACCCAGAGGGAATGGAAGTAAATACTATTGAATGATGATGCATGTAGGAGATTGTAATCATTGAAATAAAATGATGGTGTAAAGCTGATGTTCTCCCATGTAAACTATCAATCAATTCACAATAAAAACTTAAAAATAAAACAAAAAACAGAACAACAAAAAAACAAGGGCCACTCACTTCTAAGGTGGATTGCTGATTTTCTGTGCCTTCTGAGCAGGAAGAAAAAGACGGTTGTCAAAGATGGAGGGATTTAGGGGAGAGGAGGGTGTCATGGAGAGCCCTGCACAACCACTGCCTAGAGAGGCAAGAGTGCAGCAGTTGACCCTGTCACAACCAGGTGAACACAATGGTAAGGGAGTTGCCTTGGTCCTTGTGTGGTGCTATAGGAAAAGAACTGGACTACTGACCAAAAGGTCAGTGGTTCAAAGCCACCAGCCACTTCGCAGAAACTCTATTTAGAGTTGCTATGAGTTGGACCCGAATTGAAGGCACATAACAACAACCACCCTGGCCAAAAGAGGCTTGCTGATTGGGTGAGAAGATCTCTTCCATGTACGGCTGTGGTTATTAAAAGATGCGGGTTGGAAGTGGAGTGGATGGAGGGTCAGGATTTATGCAGTGGGGAAAATCCTAAGCAAATTTGTTCCCAAGATGCACATGCACACATTTCATGCCAGGAGATGACTACTGAGGAGTCTAGCACCATTTTTCTCATCTCTTCTTTCAGACCCTGTCAGTCAAAGCAGAGAAGAAAGAGAAAGAAAGAAGAAGCCAAGAAAGCAGAAAGGAATGAGAGCATGACAAAACGTTCCATTGATCCCCTCTCCTTAAGTGCTAGAGACACATACTCCATGATCATTATTAGGCCAAAAAGATGATAGAAGAGTATAAGATAAAAAATTTTAAGCTGCATCAGGAAGAATTTCATGAAGCCTTTATATCCCAATGGGATGAACAATACTATATTAGGGCTCTACCTGAGATGTTACCAGAGGAGTTCTAGTGGTACAATGGTTCAGAGCTTGGTTGCTAACCGAAAGGGCTCTCCACTGGAGAAAGATCCTGGCCATTCGTTTCCATATCAGTTACAACCTAGAAAACCCTCAGAGGCACTTCACCTCTATCACATTGGGTTCTTATGAGTTGGAACTGACCCAACAGCATTTAACAAGTAATCTACGGGAGATGTTAACAGATGTGAAAGAGGACTCATCAGGGCAGAGAAGAAAGTGGTTGTTGGAAAAAAATACAACTTGTGTCCTACAGCGTTTAGACGATTTCTTATGATGAATACTGGTTGCATTTGAAAATTTCTTGCAGGATATACTTAATAGTTTTTAAAGGTAAAAACTGTGTAAACTGAATTTTAAAAATAGGGATATACTCTAGTCTAAAATCCTTGAAAAAGAGAATAAAATTTTTGAGATTTACATATTTATGAATGAAAACAACAACAAACAACAACTCTTAATTTAGTCATTGAAATATTTACCGGCTCAAAGTTGGGCAGCACAACATCTTCATCCCCAACAACAAAAGTGACCATGCTGCAGATCTGTATGTAATGTCCTATTTGGGAATATATAGTGAAGAGCAGGAAGTGTCTCCTAAAGAGAATGGACGTCATGTGAGAAGGAGCATTTCCTTTGTTGTAGTATTTACTGCTGGGGGCAGCATAAGGACCTCTTGTAATTGAAATTAGGTCAAATATTAGTGGAGAGCTGAATTTTTTAACACAGATGGTATTAAGTCTTTTGAAAGAACCCTCAGAAATCATAAAATCTATATTTTAATAATTATTTATAACAAAAATAATTGCATTCCAGGACAGATTTGCCCACCCTGAAAGTGACAAACACATTAAGACTGGTCTAGATTTCTGGTAGCATCCCTCCAATCCATGATTTTAGGGCAGATGTAAGAAATACTGAGGTTTTCAAAATTAGTATTTTCTACTACTAAGCGTAGTGGTTACGAATCGGGCTGGGAACCGCAAGGTCAGCAGTTCGAAACTACCAGCGGTTCCGCGGGAGAAAGATGAGGTGTTCTGCTCCCGTAATGATTTACAGCCTCGGGAACCCTGTGCAGGGTCGCTATGAGTCGGAACCGACTCCACGGCACTTAACAACAACAACAACAACAATGGATACATTTTCTTAGCATTTCAATATATGACTTAGACTTAAATTTCTAAGTCTAAGTCATATATTGAAATATATGATAAATTTATCACAAAAAATGATAAATTTTCATTTGCCACATAGAATAAGTATACTTGGCCTTTGAGAAAACAATCAAATAAAAATATTTATATCATCTCATGTATGAAGTAATATTTTGAATTGTATAAATCTAAATAAACTTTTAGATGATTCACATTTTCTTTAAAATTAGAAATGTGATGTATTTAACCAGTTTTCTTTTAATTAAAGACAAATTCTAAACAGACAACAGGTAACATGGGAAATTTGGCAACAGTTATGGGTAGTGAGTGCTTGCACAACATTTTTAGTGAAGTTGATAAAACTAAATTGTATACTAGAAGCAATGTTAAATTGGCAAGTTTTATAGAATATGTATTTTTACAATAATAACAACAACATATAGATTGGTAAGGGGAAAATGCTAGGGTTCTTAATTTGTGTTTAAATAAAGTCATGGTTTTTGCTATGGATATATAATAAGAGTAAACAAATATGATTCTTTAATAAATTTAGTTTTAAAATACTGGGTTAAACAAGTTTAAATATTACTTCTTCTAATGAAATTCCCAAAATTTTTGACAATATTGAGTTTTCCAAAAGGTAGTTCAGTGTACAACATTTCTTCTATGCAGTTGTTCATGGAAGTGTTTTTCTCAAGAATCATATGAACTATGAAATCACTTCAGTAAGAAATACTGTAGAGACGTATTTAATTATTTACTAGTCAACAATTTACAAGTTTCTAAAATTTCTTAGGAAGTCATGACATACCCCACAGGGAGGCGAACCATTGTAGCCTTGGTAGCGTATGTATGAATCTTCAGAACAAGGTTACGTGGCTTCAGAGATTTCCAAGAAAGCTCTTCAGCAATAAGTAGTCCAGGCTCTACAGGAGGACTATCTTTTGTTAAAGCTTTAGGAAAAGTCAAAAATATATATAATTAAAATGTAAATATGGTTGTGAAAGAATACCTTACTTCTCTAGTAAAGCTTTTTAATTTTTTATTTTTTAGCTAAAAATAAATTAATTTTTTTTTAATTGGGGAATTAGAGATATTCTAAAATGTACATGAGACAGTAGAAATTGTACCAGGTAATTTCTACCTTCATTCTGACAGTCACCCTCTCAGGTGAAGACACCAAGAAAAGAAAAATTTTAGGAAAAGATGGACAGAGAGGAAAATTTTATCACAGAATGCTAGAGAAAAGCACTGGACTGATAAGTTCAAACCACCAGGTGCTTTTTGGAAACCATATACCAACCAGGTTGCTATAAGTTGGAACTAACTTGATGGCACTTAACAACAACATGGCAGTAATTACAACATCTCTCTGCATTCAATACTAAAGGAGGGAAAATACCACATTTATGAAAGTAAGCTATTTCTCTAAGACAGCATCCAAGCAATGCCAAAATAACAAGATAGCTCATTATTTGTCCATTTATTTCGACTATTGATTCTGAGGGTATGTGGAAATAGAGTTATTCACAAAATAAGAACCTCAACATCAATTTAAAAATAATTGATAAAGACTATGACTATTCTTCTTCAGTGGCTGAGGGCAAAATATGTTTCAACCTTATTTCTAAATAGCCTTGAAGGTAACAACATATCAGGTCATGGAATTATCTGAAAGGTCTCTGTGTTTATTGGTTTAAATGCTCTAGGTCATTGGGGAGCTTAGAAGCTATTGGTTAGCTAGACATACTAAGGCTAAACCACTACACTTTGGAGAGTTTATTTGTTCAGCACATATTAATCCCTACTTACTATGTACCAGACATCATTCAAAACACTGGAGACATTATGGTAAAAATCTTGCTCTGAGTATCATGTTCAGAGTGTGGACAAGACACTCAACATAAGCATTCAGCAGATATTTAGGATCCAGGTAATGCTGTTTTGAGTTATTTTTAAAAACAAGGCATGGATTTAGATAGTGATGTGTGTATGTGTATTTTGTGTTAATGTTGAGGCATTTCAGTTAGAGAAAGCTTTTGAATAGAGATACAAAGAGAAAAGTGAAATGTGTAGAGTATTTAAAGAAAATACTCTAGAAAGCTTGACTAGCTTCTATAATTACTCAAAGGCATAAATAAGAACAACAAAAAAGATCAAACCAAAAGGGAGTCTGATAAGGATGAAATTGGAGGCAGCACCAAGGGCCAGATTCAGTTGTTGTTAGGTGTGTCATCGAGTTGGTTCCAACTGATACTAGCCCTATGTGTGGCGGAACTAAACTAAAACTGGTTCTGCATACCCTTCACAATTGTTCCACTGGAGTCTGTTGTTGTAGCCACTGTATCGGTCCATCTTGTTGAAGGTCTTCTATTTTGCAGAGCTTTTACCTTATTAAAGCATAACATGTACAAAGTACATAAGGAGAAGTCTTGCCATCTTCAGTTCTAAGGTGCTTTCCGACTGTATTTCTTCCAAGACAGATCTGTTCATTCCTCTGGAAGTCCAGGATATAATCAGTATTCGTCACCAACATCACAATTCAAAGGCATAAGTTATTCTTCCATCCTCCTTACTCATTGTCCAGCTTTAACATGTACATGTTGTTAGGAGCCATTGAGTCGGCATCAACTCATAGCGACCTTATGCACAGCAGAACGAAAGAATGTCCGATGCTGGGTCAACCTCACTACTGTTGCCCACTTGAGTCCAATGATGCTGCCACCTGGCTAATCCATATCGTGGGGGTCTTCTTCTTTTTCTCTGACCCTCCATATTACCAAACATGATGGCCTTCTCCAGCAACTTGTCCCTCCTGAAAATATGTCCAAAGTATGAGAGATGAAATTTGACCATCTTGGCCTCTAAGGAGCACTCTGGGAGCACTTCTTCCAAAACGGATCTATTGGTTCTTTTGGAAGTCCATGGGACTTTTAGTATTCTCCTCCAACACCATAATTCAAAGGCATAAATTCTTCTGTTTTTCCTTATTCACTGTCCAGCTCTCGCATGCATATGAGGTTATTAAAAATACCACGGCTTGGGTCAGGCATACCTTAGTCCTCAAGCTGGCATGGTTGCTCTCAACACTTTAAAAAGTTCCTGTGCAGCAGATTTGCCTAATGAAATACATC